CTGATCATCAACCCTTTGGTTCCTTCTTAAATGAAAACCTAACAACAAACTAAATCAAGAAAACAAATGTGTACAGGAGTGCATTAATAATACTTTAGTTAGTAGATATGATTATGGTAACAACAATTATTTTCTGATTAAAGCACATGCAAAAAGGCTGCTAAATGGAACCACTGCAGGCACAACAAGGCAGAGGGAGAACTACATATTACATAAAGACGCTTCAAATATTCACTCAATGCCCTTGAAATTCATATAGACATAAGATGGCTGCCCATAAAACAAATACTGTGTATTAGTAAATCATCCATTCATGTCAACAGGAATAGGTTATGTGCACCAATCTCAGTCAGGACTCCGCCCACAGTGTTGAGGTCAAATCAACAGCTTCAACTGATCGATAGCTCTTCCCATGTTGGTTTAATGACATCACACAGCACTTATGGTGATCCCAGAAAAAAAATGAAATGCCTTCAACATCCTGTAAATGTAAAAAAAAAAAAAAAAAATTGAAAAGCTGTTCAGCGTTGAAAAGACCGCAAGAGAAATAAAAGTTGGCACTTCAGTGTGTGTTAAGTCTTAAACCATAAAAAAAAATGTATGCACGAGAATAGACTGCTTACAAAATACAGTGCCTTCAGAAAGTATTCACAACCCTTGACTTTTTGCACATTTTGTTGTTACAGCCTGAATTTAACATGCATTCAATTTTAGATTGTGTGTCACTGATCTACACACAATACCCCATAATGTCAAAAGTGGAATTATGTTTTTAGAAATGTTTGGAAATGAATAAAAGACAAAAAACTGAAATGTCTTGAGTCAATAAGCATTCGACCCCTTTGTTATGGCAAGCCTAAATAAGTTCAGGAGTAAACATGTGCTTAACAAGTCAGATAATAAGTTGCATGGACTCACTCTGTGTGCAATAATAGTGTTTAACATTATTTTTGAATGACTACCCCATTTCTGTACCTCACACATACAATTATCTGTAAGATCCCTCAGTCGAGCAGTGAATTTCAAACACAGATTCAAGACCAGGCAGGTTTCCCAATGCCTCGCAAAGAAGGGTACCTATTGGTAAACCCCTACCTACATGTACATATTACCTGGACTAACCTGTACCCCCGCACATTGACTCGGTACCGGTACCCCCTGTATATAGCCTCGTTATTGTTATTTTATTGTTTTACTTTTTATTTTATTTAGTAAATATTTTCTTAACTCTATTTCTTGAACTGCATTTTTGGTTAAGGGCTTTAAACTAATCATGTAGCAGCCAGGGCATTACTATACACAGATACACAAGCAGTGATCATGAAGGTCATTCATATACACCAGAACAGCTTGCACGTCTTATTATCCCATACAGTAGATCAATAAGTAAGCATTTCACACCTGTTGTATTCGGCGCATGTGTCAAATAACATTTGATTTGATTTAAATGGGTAAAAATAAAGAAAAGCAGACATTGAATATCTCTTTGAGCATGGTGAAGTTATTAATAATTACACTTTGGATGCTGTATCAATACACCCAGTCACTACAAAGATACAGGCGTCCTTCCTAACTCAGTTGACGGAGAGGAAGGAAACCACGCAGGGATTTCACCATGAGGCCCAAAAAATTAAATAAATAAAAATAAAAGTACATCCAACACATCACTGAGTACCACTCTTCATATTTTCAAGCATGGTGGTGGCTGCATCATGTTATGGGTAGGCTTGTAATCGTTAAGGACTAGGGAGTTTTTTAGGATAAAAATAAACGTAATAGAGCTAAGCACAGGCAATGTCCTAAAGGAAAACCTGGTTCAGTCTGCTTTCTAACAGACACTGGGAGACAAATCCACCTACAGTGGGGAAAAAAAGTATTTAGTCAGCCACCAATTGTGCAAGTTCTCCCACTTAAAAAGATGAGAGAGGCCTGTAATTTTCATCATAGGTACACGTCAACTATGACAGACAAAATGAGAAAAAAAAATCCAGAAAATCACATTGCAAGATTCTTAATGAATTTATTTGCAAATTATGGTGGAAAATAAGTATTTGGTCAATAACAAAAGTTTCTCAATACTTTGTTATATACCCTTTGTTGGCAATGACACAGGTCAAACGTTTTCTGTAAGTCTTCACAAGGTTCACACACACTGTTGCTGGTATTTTGGCCCATTCCTCCATGCAGATCTCCTCTAGAGCAGTGATGTTTTGGGGCTGTCGCTGGGCAACACGGACTTTCAACTCCCTTCAAAGATTTTCTATGGGGTTGAGATCTGGAGACTGGCTAGGCCACTCCAGGACCTTGAAATGCTTCTTACGAAGCCACTCCTTCGTTGCCCGGGCGGTGTGTTTGGGATCATTGTCATGCTGAAAGACCCAGCTACGTTTCATCTTCAATGCCCTTGCTGATGGAAGGAGGTTTTCACTCAAAATCTCACGATACATGGCCCCATTCATTCTTTCCTTTACACGGATCAGTCGTCCTGGTCCCTTTGCAGAAAAACAGCCCCAAAGCATGATGTTTCCACCCCCATGCTTCACAGTAGGTATGGTGTTCTTTGGATGCAACTCAGCATTCTTTGTCCTCCAAACACGACGAGTTGAGTTTTTACCAAAAAGTTCTATTTTGGTTTCATCTGACCATATGACATTCTCCCAATCCTCTTCTGGATCATCCAAATGCACTCTAGCAAACTTCAGACGGGCCTGGACATGTACTGGCTTAAGCAGGGGGACACGTCTGGCACTGCAGGATTTGAGTCCCTGGCGGCGTAGTGTGTTACTGATGGTAGGCTTTGTTACTTTGGTCCCAGCTCTCTGCAGGTCATTCACTAGGTCCCCCCGTGTGGTTCTGGGATTTTTGCTCACCGTTCTTGTGATCATTTTGACCCCACGGGGTGAGATCTTGCATGGAGCCCCAGATCGAGGGAGATTATCAGTGGTCTTGTATGTCTTCAATTTCCTAATAATTGCTCCCACAGTTGATTTCTTCAAACCAAGCTGCTTACCTATTGCAGATTCAGTCTTCCCAGCCTGGTGCAGGTCTACAATTTTGTTTCTGGTGTCCTTTGACAGCTCTTTGGTCTTGGCCATAGTGGAGTTTGGAGTGTGACTGTTTGAGGTTGTGGACAGGTGTCTTTTATACTGATAACAAGTTCAAACAGGTGCCATTAATACAGGTAACGAGTGGAGGACAGAGGAGCCTCTTAAAGAAGAAGTTACAGGTCTGTGAGAGCCAGAAATCTTGCTTGTTTGTAGGTGACCAAATACTTATTTTCCACTATAATTTTCAAATAAATTCATTACAAATCCTACAATGTGATTTTCTGGAATTTCTTTCCTCAATTTGTCTGTCATAGTTGACGTGTACCTATGATGAAAATTACAGGCCTCTCTCATATTTTTAAGTGGGAGAACTTGCACAATTGGTGGCTGACTAAATACTTTTTTCCCCACTGTATCAGGAGGACAATAACCTAAAACGCAAAGGCAAAATATACACTGGAGTTACTTACAAAGACGACATTGAATGTTCCCGAGTGGCCTTGATTTAAATCGGCTTGAAAATCTATGGCAAGACTTGACAATGGCTGTCTAGCAATGATCAACAACCAACTTGATAGAGCTTGAAGAATTTTAAAATGAATAATGGGCAAATATTGTACAATCTAGGTTTACAAAGCTTTTAGAGACTGAAAAACACAGCTGTAATTGCTGCCAAAGGTGATTCTAACATATTGACTCAGGGGGTTGAATACTTATCTAATTAAAATATGTTAGTGTTTTATTTTCCATTATTACTTTTTATTTTCACTTTGTTTTGTCAACGATCACAAAATACTCTAATATCAATGACAATTAAATACATTTTAAACCCACTTTGTAACACAACAAAATGTGGGAAAAGTCTGGGTTAAATGTAAGTAAGTGTACAGATTGTCTTATGCGAGTTCTTATTGCTAAATAATAAGTGACTTTTCTTAGTGAATACCAGGGAATGAAATTAATGAATAATTGAATGACTGCCCAAATAACACATCAGTAGTCGGGCAGTCGTCAAACATTTAATTAAACTCAGTCTTACTGTGTCCCTAATCACAGAAATGTGACAATACTCCCATTTTGCTCTCTGGCACACAACATTATTTAATAAATACTTCATGCATGGAAGACCTAGCCGGCCTCTAAAATTAAATCATTTTAGTAACTTTACAAAATTGAGTTTTAACTTCAAAATATCATAACAGTATGATATAACATCTCTCAATATTCACATAACTTATACTTTAAAAGTCAGTTGGACTCAGTTAGAATAAGTACACTAGAATCTCTTCAATATCTATTTTCTTTCTTCATAGGAAACCTTGGATGGACCTTGGCTTTCATCTCTTATTCAACAAGTCAAAATGGAACCAAGAATAACAGTTGATGTGGGAAAATCCATTTTTTTCACTCTTTTTTCCCCCTTTATTTAACTAGGCAAGTCAGTTAAGAACAAATTCTTATTTACAATGACGGCCTACACCGGCCAAACCCGGACGACGCTGTGAAGAGTTTAGAGAGAACTAAATTCACATTTTAAAATGTAGTATCACAGATTATAGTACTGTGGTAGTCCAGCTTATATCACTGTATAACCAAATTCAGTCGTTTGATAAATGAAATGATCGGTTACAAACTCAAATTCACCTTTTAATAATAAGTAAAACACTGCTTCACAGTGTAGTAACGTTAAAATAAGTGAGTGAAATAAATAACTGAAACGTGTGGCTAAATTATAATCAAAAAGGTAAGATGTGATTGTGAGTAGTGTACGGCCCTGATTCTAACTAACATTCATGAAGTGGCTTACTGAATAGAGATCCTGGTATTGCCATAGAAACGCCGCCGACAGTGATGTGTTTTTGCACTTCAAGTGAATGAATGAGAATATCTCACACACACACACACACACACACACACACACACACACACACACACACACACACACACACACACACACACACACACACACACACGGTCATAGCTGTTGGTACAACAGGGTACCTTTGTCAGTTTGTGATTATGAATCATCATCCCATCCCCACTCTTCTTTCTTCATCCTTTGTTCTTCATTGCTATCTCAGTCTGTTTGGTTAACTTCTAGGGGTGTAACGGTTCACCAAATCCACGGTTCGGTACGTATTGCGTTTTTTGGGGGTCACGGCAGGAAAATTCAATGCCATCAATAAATGTTCAGCATTCACAACGTTCCTGGCATGGTCTGTTGTGACAGGATTGTTATGTCGGGCCTCTCACGTTTCCACACTGATGCTGCGTTTGTAACCACGTGGGAGGTGGGAATTTACCAGTTGTGAAGTCGTACATTTAGTGCCAGATGCACACTTGTGATTCTCATAAAGGGGGCGTGTCTGTAGCACGGTACATCTCCCACTCCAGGGTAATGTGATGGGCTGTCACTTAAGTAAGTGCAACACAGGGTGCATTGGCCAATTCATAGAAAACTTTGGCTTTGGCTTGCTTATATAGAGCAGGTACTACCTGTTTGCTGAAATGGGTGCAAGAGGGAAGTTCATAACGTGGCATCGAGCACTTTTACGAGGTGCTGAAACCCCCTATTCTCAACCACTGGGAACGGGCGCGGCTTTAAACCAAAGACTGTAAAAAATATAAACATAGCTTACCTATCGCTCTTGTAATTTTTGGCCCGGTCAGAACCAGTTGCCAAGGGCTGCTTGAATGCAGAGGGGAGGTGATTTTGGGTTGTTTCTTTGCGTTTCTGTCTGGTTCCGGTATACTGGGGTAATGTTGGAGTAAATGTGTCAACATATGAGGTGTTGGCAGCTGGATAGGCTATTCTCGTTGAGCATGGCGACATATTGTTAACGTTTTATCCACAACTCTCTGTCCATCGCCATTGTGATCTATTGGGAAGCCAAAATGTTCCCAAACTGGAGATTTAAACGATGATGGAGGACCCTCCAATTCTGGTTTATCGACACCGCCACTCGCCATCGTACAGAACTAGTTCCTGGCTGCGTCTCACAAAAGGACAGTTTGAAATGCGCCAGTTAAGATTTGAATTTAGATTACAACGTGCAACGTTTAAACAGAATAGCCCGAAAAACTAAAATTCAGCTCAGATTTCCTCAAGAGGCACTGGCCTACAACGCAGCGTAGGCAGAGCCTATAGGCCTAGTGTTTTAATTTTGGATATATGATTATTTTTTGTATTAATTCGGGTTCAGAGTGCAGACTGAACCAAGGCCCCCTACCGAACGGGTCGGTACGAATACGTGTACCGTTACACCCCTATTAACGTCTCCTCTCATACGTCCCCAGCTTCTTGGGATCCTTGCTGGGCATGCACCAGTCATCCGCCTCGTTGCTCGTCTGGTAATGCCTTATGGCTGACTGGTTGTAAACAGGAAGTCTTTCCACAGACTCTGAGGACAAGGCCTGTTAATGGAGCACAGAGTGGAGTGGTAAATTATATGTAATCTCGGTTAACCCAGAACAAGGTTTTATAAGGCTCTATTTCTATCACATGCTGGTCACATGATGAGTCTTCCATCATGAGCCACATTCAGATGTATCAGATGGATGTTATCTAAGTGGGTAATGGAATTACATGAGCATTGTGTATTAGGTAACCTTGTTTTAACATAACGGTATGTTATGAATGAATAGGAAAGAGTGAAATCTGATCTTAAGTTATAACTGAGACATACTGTAGCACATGAACCAATATTGAGAATTAACCTTTACATACTTATTTCAATGTTGTATAGAGCAGGGATCATCAACTAGATGGTCGGAACATAATTACAAATCATTTGTAGACTCAATTTGACCGCAAGAAGCCCAAACAGATATATTTGACAAAAACATGATCATTTCAAACCTTGCTTACATTTGTATACGATCATGTGTCTCTCGATTATGCTTGGGAATACTTGGGAACAGATTTCCAAAATTAAAATAACTGGTGTTGTAAAAGTTTTAAAAAATTAAAATCAGGTTTTCTGAGCAAAAATAAATAAAAATTGAGGGCCAAAATTGGGGAACCCTGTTTTAGAGGCTAAATTATCTAGAACAAGACAACTGTTGAACTAACACATTCCATCCGAAGAAGTGTTACCTTCAGGTAGATGACAGCTGACGTCCCATATCCCTCCATGGAGTAAAGCTGCAGGTCTCCCTGGAAGTACTTGGCATAGAGACGGGAGATGGGGAGACCGTAGCCGAAACCAGCCTACAGAGAACCAGAGCCAGGGACACAAACAGTGTCACAGTTCTGTAGTAGAAAAGCATTCACAGTTACACTTTAAACCCTGGGCAACGAATGACCGGTCCAGTCCAGTTTGTAATTCTGCTAATTTACAACCGTGTTCACTTCTGTTCGCTCACAGTTTACACTTTAGTCAGTATAAAAGGATCACATTTGAGTTTAAATAAAATAAAACAGGCTTGCATGCCTCTAACATATGGCCAAACTGCAGTCATAGATCATGTCCTACAGAATGTTGTGGTCAAATGTATTAAACCTGATTTATTTAAACCTGACTGCCAGTAAAATATTGAATGTTCAGTGCCACCAGGACAGGGTCTCACCAGTGGAGCGTTGCGTGAGTTGTCAATATCGACAGGGCTGGGGGCGGTGGAGTACATGTAGCTGAACAGACGCTCTATCTTCCTCAGGGGGACTCCGCCTCCTCGATCTGATATCTATAAACAACAACGTTACAGAAGGTCTGATCCATTCTCGGTTCCAGTCTATCTGATGATCTTCCTGTTGTCTCCTAAATATCATCATATAGGACCTACAGAACAACCATGGGAAGAAATCTATAGTACTATGTATTCATATACAAAATACACACATTAAAAACTGTATAAAGTAGGCTTCTACATCCCATGGCATTATTTACACCCTGCATCTGTGGAAGTGTATTGGATGGGCATACACTACTTTTGAACAAATGTATATTGTTGGAGCTCACAGTTTAAGCTTTTCACTGTACCCTCTAATTACACCTGCAACCCTGTACATGTGACTATTAAACTTCTAATAAATTAAAAAAAGTCATAAGAATGTACTGCAATGAGCACAATGCATTTCATTCATTGTAAAGGTGGATACTCTCAGCCTGTGTTTACCTTGATTGTCAGGTCTTCACTGCCCAGTGAGACTCGGACTTTGACCGGCGGGAGATGCAGGGCCATTTCATGAGTCTCCACTGTTGCTCTCATGGCGTTCTGGAAACAAAACAAACATTGCTTGAGGAAATGACTAAGTCATATAAATCAAAGTGAGCTAATATAATTAAAACTGATGTAGAACAGTCTGCTGTAGGCTCCCTCACACGTGTAATTAAATGTTTATACAGTAGAAGAAGGTAAAAGTTTGGTGGTGTACCTTGAAGAGCTCAAACAGCATGTGGTAGAGATGGGAGGGCACATAGACAATACGAAGAGGCTGGTCAGGACCTTTGGCTGAGGAACAACTGAGGATCACTCCAAATGACTCCAAACCAAACATGACTTGCAAATATTTAACATACACCCCGGAAATAGAAGAAGTTACTAGAAAACAAAAACAACTTTCCCTTCTTATTGCAAATGCATAGCATGCACAACTGAACTAAATAGTCACTGAAATACATAATTTACTATTCTACCAACTTAATCACGTTCCCAGACACTTCTGATAGCCTGGGGATGAAATTGCTACCAACCAAACACCATGAATAGACATTGTTTTGCTTTGTTAAGGCTTATGTAACGTGGTGACTGTTAAAACAGCTGAACGGGGGTGAACGTGGTGACTGTTAAACAGCTGAACGGGGGTGAATGTGGTGAATGTGGTGACTGTTAAACAGCTGAACGGGGGTAAACGTGGTGACTGTTAAACAGCTGAACGGGGGTGAACGTGGTGACTGTTAAACAGCTGAACGGGGGTAAACGTGGTGACTGTTAAACAGCTGAACGGGGGTGAATGGAGGTTTGTTATTGAGAGTTAGACTTGGACAGTTCACTGAGAGAGAGAAATCTGCCCGGCGACAAGACTAAGCCTGTACCAAGGGGCTTGTTGCTGTTCTGTTCCACTGCTGCTGACTGGAGAGAGATAAAAGACTGATGGGTGCTTGATTTGGTGCACAATGACCAAAGGCAAACTATGACATAAGTTTTGATTCATCATTATGACTTATGTGACTGTCCACACCCCCACTGTAATGTATTAGACGTAGGCTAGACTGTGCAGCCCATTGCTATTTTATGGATGGCGTGTTTTGAACGTTTGGGCACCAAATGATGTCTGGATTTGATCTAGTTTTAGCAACGATTATCATTTGCAAAATGGTGCATGAGTCTTTTCCCTCAATACCTACAATAAAATATTTATCAAAGTCATGGTTAGACCTTTCAAGTGGTGCTATTGTCTATTATCCTGTTCATACGACACATACACTGAGTGTACAAAACATTAGAAACACCTGCTTTTTCCATGACATAGACTGACCAGGTAAATCCAGGTGAAAGCTATGATCCCTTATTGATGTCACTTGTTAAATCCACTTCACTTCAATCAGTGTAGATGAAGGGGAGGAGACAGGTTAAAGAAGTAGACAGGTTAAAGAAGGATTTTTAAGACTTGAGACATGGATTGTGTGTGTGCCATTCAGAGGGTGAATGGGCAAGACAAAAGATTGAAGTGCCTTTGAACAGGGTATGGTAGTAGGTGCCAGGCGCACCGCTGCTGGGTTTTTCACACTCATCAGTTTGAAAAAAGGGGATGCAACTCAATAATAGAACTCAATACTCAACTCAATAATAGGAAGCTGTTGCAAATGTTTTGTACACTCAGTGTATAACCTACACATACACAGTAAAGTAAACCGTTTTTCTACACAGGGCGATACACGGGTATAAACTCAATATTTATTCACTTCTGTGTAAGTGAGATGTATGAAAGAATGGTTCTCTGTAGACATGGCTGCCTGTGGTTCAAAGTCTGTGTGCCTCAGATGCAGAAAACACAGTCTCACTCCTGACAGCCCTAGATGAGAGTAAGCAGGCACATGCTGTTCAACTAAAGCAACAGAGTTAATTGCTATAAATGGTTCAGCTAAATATATCTGAACACCACTCACCACACACACACGCACTTTGCAAATTGTGCCCCGAATTGAGTAGACAAAGAGGAATTGAATGCGAGATCAAGAATATTCAACCCACGAGCAGATAAATAAACTCAACTCAAACCTGGCCAAACATCCAACAACTCAAAATATAAATACAACTTCACAAATCCTTTCTGTAAACCTAATCTTCTCTAACAACCCCCGGCCTAAAACTCACTTGTTAACCAAATTGTACTATTTGGAAATAGGAGAACCAGAAATGGCTTCAAGCTACTCTGGCCCTTCTCCCTTCCCTTGGCACACTAAAGCATGTGACTGCATAATGTTGTATTAAACAGACTTGGCTCCAAATAGTATTTGAAATCTTTCAAATACTTTGAGCGTTTAATTGAGCCCATCAACAGTGCCAGTTGGGCCAGGCTGCACTTCTGGGACTATTCTATTGGGTCAATTGAGCCAGGCAAGCTCAACCAAGCGCAGCATAAGTATTTGAAGGAAAACAAATACCTTCCTGAACCCAGGTCTGTAACCCTGTATAGAATGCGATTTACCATTGACTTGTGTGATGTCAATCTCTGGCGAGGTCAGGTAGTACTGCTCACAGAGCATCTTGGAACTATCGAAGGCATCTGGGGAAGAAACAGTATAAACAATGATAAGGACTGTAGCACAGGAGGAAAACACTGACTTTCAATCTAGTCACCATAACAGCTAATGACCACAAAGACTTTCAATCTAGTCACCATAACAGCTAATGACCACAAAGGCTTTCAATCTGGTCACCATAACAGCTACAAAGAGTAGAAGATCAACTAAAACAGTCTGCCTCTGTATTTAAAAGGCATGTAAATCGTACGTGTGTGTGTGTGTGTGTGGCTGAGGAGGGACAGTACCTTTTACCACCTCTGTCACATCACAGTCGGGGTCGATGGTGCCAATGTGCTTGGGATGGGCGGGGTTGGCACTTCCATCAAAGATGAGAGCTGAAGAGGTACATGACAACAACAAATTCAGACTCATGTGGTAAATACACTTGCATGCCGATTCAAACACACGTCACAAAAGTACTTTTGAGTATGTGAAATACAAACGTCTACATTTTAGGCATGCTGTATGTATTTTGTGTACGCAGCCCTACTGTGGCTATTGCGCATGGAGATAATAATAATAATAATAATAATAATAATATGCCATTTAGCAGACGCTTTTATCCAAAGTGACTTACAGTCATGCGTGCATACAGTGGGGAAAAAAAGTATTTAGTCAGCCACCAATTGTGCAAGTTCTCCCACTTAAAAAGATGAGAGAGGCCTGTAATTTTCATCATAGGTACACGTCAAATATGACAGACAAAATGAGATTTTTTTTCTCCAGAAAATCACATTGTAGGATTTTTAATGAATTTATTTGCTAATTATGGTGGAAAATAAGTATTTGGTCAATAACAAAAGTTTCTCAATACTTTGTTATATACCCTTTGTTGGCAATGACACAGGTCAAACGTTTTCTGTAAGTCTTCACAAGGTTTTTACACACTGTTGCTGGTATTTTGGCCCATTCCTCCATGCAGATCTCCTCTAGAGCAGTGATGTTTTGGGGCTGTCACTGGGCAACACGGACTTTCAACTCCCTCCAAAGATTTTCTATGGGGTTGAGATCTGGAGACTGGCTAGGCCACTCCAGGACCTTGAAATGCTTCTTACGAAGCCACTCCTTCGTTGCCCGGGCGGTGTGTTTGGGATCATTGTCATGCTGAAAGACCCAGCCACGTTTCATCTTCAATGCCCTTGCTGATGGAAGGAGGTTTTCACTCAAAATCTCACGATACATGGCCCCATTCATTCTTTCCTTTACACGGATCAGTCGTCCTGGTCCCTTTGCAGAAAAACAGCCCCAAAGCATGATGTTTCCACCCCCATGCTTCACAGTAGGTATGGTGTTCTTTGGATGCAACTCAGCATTCATTGTCCTCCAAACACAACGAGTTGAGTTTTTACCAAAAAGTTATATTTTGGTTTCATCTGACCATATGACATTCTCCCAATCCTCTTCTGGATCATCCAAATGCACTCTAGCAAACTTCAGACGGGCCTGGACATGTACTGGCTTAAGCAGGGGGACACGTCTGGCACTGCAGGATTTGAGTCCCTGGCGGCGTAGTGTGTTACTGATGGTAGGCTTTGTTACTTTGGTCCCAGCTCTCTGCAGGTCATTCACTAGGTCCCCCCGTGTTTTTCTGGGATTTTTGCTCACCGTTCTTGTGATAATTTTGACCCCACGGGGTGAGATCTTGCGTGGAGCCCCAGATCGAGGGAGATTATCAGTGGTCTTGTATGTCTTCCATTTCCTAATAATTGCTCCCACAGTTGATTTCTTCAAACCAAGCTGCTTACCTATTGCAGATTCAGTCTTCCCAGCCTAGTGCAGGTCTACAATTTTGTTTCTGGTGTCCTTTGACAGCTCTTTGGTCTTGGCCATAGTGGAGTTTGGAGTGTGACTGTTTGAGGTTGTGGACAGGTGTCTTTTATACTGATAACAAGTTCAAACAGGTGCCATTAATACAGGTAACGAGTGGAGGACAGAGGAGCCTCTTAAAGAAGAAGTTACAGGTCTGTGAGAGCCAGAAATCTTGCTTGTTTGTAGGTGACCAAATACTTATTTTCCACCATAATTTGCAAATAAATTCATTAAAAATCCTACAATGTGATGTTCTGGATTTTTTTTCTCAATTTGTCTGTCATAGTTGACGTGTACCTATGATGAAAATTACTGGCCTCTCTCATCTTTTTAAGTGGGAGAACTTGCACAATTGGTGGCTGACTAAATACTTTTTTTCCCCACTGTACATTTTTTTTGTGTATGGGTGGTCCCGGGGATCGAACCCACTACCTTGGCGTTACAAGCGCCGTGCTCTACCAGCTGAGCTACAGAGGACCACATGTAGTATAGTATACAGTGGTGTGAAAAAGTGTTTGCCCCCTTCCTGATTTCTTATTTGTTTGTCACACTTAAATGTTTCAGATCAAACAAATTTAAATATTAGTCAAAGATAACACAAGTAAACACAAAATGCAGTTTTTAAATGAAGGTTGTTATTATTAAGGGAAAACAAAATCCAAACCCACATGGCCCTGTGTGAAAAAGTGATTGCCCCCTACAACCTAATAACTGGTTGGGCCACCCTTAGCAGCAACAACTGCAATCAAGCGTTTGCGATAACTTGCAAGTCTTTTACAGCGCTGTGGAGGAATGTTGGCCCACTCATCTTTGCAGAATTGTTGTAATTCAGCCACATTGGAGGGTCTTCGAGCATGAACTGCCTTTTTAAGGTCATGCCACAGCATCTCAAATAGGATTCAGGTCAGGACTTTGACTAGGCCACTCCAAAGTCTTCATTTTGTTTTTCTTCAGCCATTCAGAGGTGTTTTGGATCATTGTCCTGCTGCAGAACCCAAGTTCGCTTCAGCTTGAGGTCATGAACAGATGGCCGGACATTCTCCTTCAGGATTTTTTGGTAGACAGCAGAATTCATGGTTCCATTTATCACAGCAAGTCTTCCAGGTCCTGAAACAGCAAAACAGGCCCAGACCATCACACTACCACCACCATATTTTACTGTTGGTATGATGTTCTTTTTCTGAAATGCGGTGTTACTTTTACACCAGATGTAATGGGACACACACCTTCCAAAAAGTTCAACTTTTGTTTCGTCAGTCCACAGAGTATTTTCCCAAAGGTCTTGGGGATCATCAAGATGTTTTCTGGCAAAAATGAGACACGCCTTAATGTTCTTTTTGCTCAGCAGTGGTTTTCGTCTTGGAACTCTGCCATGCAGGCCATTTTTGCCCAGTCTCTTTCTTATGGTGGAGTCATGAACACTGACCTTAACTGAGGCAAGTGAGGCCTGCAGCTCTTTGGATGTTGTTGTGGGGTCTTTTGTGACCTCTTGGATGAGTCGTCGCTGCGCTCTTGGGGTAATTTTGGTCGGCCGGCCACTTCTGGGAAGGTTCACCACGGTTCCATGTTTTCGCCATTTGTGGATAATGGCTCACTGTGGTTCGCTGGAGTCCCAAAGCTTTAGAAATGGCTTTAGAACCTTTTCCAGACTGATGGATCTCAATTAGTTTCTTTCTCATTTGTTCCTGAATTTCTTTGGATCTCGGCATGATGTCTAGCTTTTGATGATCTTTTGGTCTACTTCACTTTGTCAGGCAGGTCCTATTTAAGTGATTCCTTGATTGAGAACAGGTGTGGCAGTAATCAGGCCTGGGTGTGGCTAGAGGAATTGAACTCAGGTGTGATAAACCACAGTTGAGTTGTGTTATAACAGGGGGGCAAACACTTTTTCACACAGGGCCATGTAGGTTTGGATTTTGTTTTCCCTTAATAATAACAACCTTCATTTCAAAACTGCATTTTGTGTTTACTTGTGTTATCTTTGACTAATATTGAAATGTGTTTGATGATCTGAAACATTTAAGTGTGACAAACAAATAACAAATCAGGAAGGGGGCAAACACTTTTTCACACCACTGTATATTTAGTATAGTTACTGACAGTGCTGGTTCATGAGCATGCGGGTGGAGATGCGGCTCATGTAGAAGCGATCCAGGAAGTATTGGATGTTCTGATTGGTCACAGGGTCGGAGCCGAAAGCCTCCTTGTACTCCACTACGCCCTGGGCCATGGTCGGCACCACGTTGTTGTGGCGGTTCCTGATGTTCACCAGCGTCTCAGTGAACCTGAGGGGAGAAAGGGCAAAGGATGGGTCGAAAGTTCACAAATCTGCACATTCTATTCTAACAGTCTGCATTCCTAATTTTCCCTCTGGGTATAAATAAAGTAGCTATAGTCATTCATTCATTCAGTCATTCACTCACTAACATCTGCAAGGTTGCTACCAGCTCAAAATAGTATTGATCTAATCCAGCAGCAGCAGAGGTAGGGTGGAAGTGTTTATTCATCATATCCCATTCCAGATTAAAACCATCATCTATTATTCCGTTATAAGAGGTAACTATTAATAGGCAGAGATGAGAAAAATTATAGATTTCCTTACCTGCATTAACTATGACTCACTTTGGACAGTCCATCTAATGAGATGTAGGCCTATCTGCTGGATGTGACTGTGTGTAATTGACTTACTTCTTCAGGATCTTTTTATCATCAGAATCTTTTTCCAGGAAGCCCACAAGCTCCATCAGACTTGTTGCATACCTGTAGGAATATATAATAGAAGAAAGGCTAGTTTACACAGGGAAACAATGCTGCTACTTTAAACTAAACTACATTTATAAAGGCTTTATAGAGCATTCATAAAGAGTATTCTTAAAGGCTTTATAGAGCATTCATAAAGAGTATTTTTAAAGCATATATAGAGTATTTATAAGCAAGGCGCTTGGGAGTGTAGCACGACATTTGTTTATGATTTATGAAGTATCTACATAGGCATAATAAAGGGTTTATGAGTGCTTCATTAAACCTTTCAAGTTTATTTCACTGTGGAACTGAACTAAAGAAAGGTCTGCGTTGAATTCGTCCCTGTACTGAGGGTGTGGCCAATAGAAGACAGAAACCAGGTCAAAGATCACTTCTTTCCTTTAGCAAATCACTTTTGACTGTTTGACTCCTGGAGTTCCACTGTTAAAAATCTCAGAATTCTATTTTGGAACGGACTCTGATTCTTGTGGTGACCATGAAAACCACATGGGGGTATTTATACATGCTACAATAACTAGGGCTACTTGTGGCTGGAGAGAGGCCTAGTATGCATCCCAAATGGCACCCTATTCCCTATATAGTGCACTACTTTTGACAAGAGCCCAATGGGCCCCGGGGAATAGGGTGCCATTATAAATAGGGAATAGTGTGTCATTTGGGCAGTTATGTTCCCTCCGATGTTGAAACATTCCTCACCATTTTCATCCTCTCAAAACTTGAATATTCTCGCTGTACAGCACACACTAAATACTTCAGACCTAGTGGAAGTAGGCCTTATAAGTTAACACAGTAAGCATTTCAGTAACTTACTTATTAGCCTCCTAGTTTGTTCAGAGGAGTCACTATTAAGGCCTAGTTAAGAGGCTCAGGCTAAATTGTACTGACTTCAGTGACTTGCAGATTGAGTCAGGAAGCTAGGTGAGAGATCAGAGTGGCTGACTGTTTTAAAACCCTCTTTGTCCACCAACTGACCTTGAACTCTCCCACTCTACGAACACAGCTGCTGCATAGACTACATAACAGATACAACTAGGCTAACTAGCTTGAATTACAAAGTTTAACTGTAATATTTGTTGTTGCCGATAACTCTACGTCACCACTAGCCAAGTCAAATAAATGGTGCCAAATCAATATTGTCGATGGAAAAACCCACGGCCTAAAGCAGATAGGGAAAATAGCCCCTAATAGAGTAGCGATGACGCGGAAAGCTAACTTTAGACCAAGTTTATAAATATATATCTGCCGTACCATTACCAATACAGCTGGAACATAGGGTTCTGTACTGGTCACCTATCACAGAGACACTACGTTATTGCCCTAGTTCAGAGGTTCAACTGTGCTGTACTTTCCCTGACATTCCACTGTAGTTAGCTGATGGTTTTCCCTAACTAGGAGATAACCTAAACAATTCCTTGAAAGTGGTGAAGTAACCTATCACAGGCCTAGCACTCAGCAATCAACTCCATTTTTTTGGGGGGAAAGTATTCCGTTTCAATGTTTCAATAAGAGAACATATTTGCAAGTACACATTTTAACTACATGACATATCTCTGACTGTCACTTACTAATAAAGACTTGATGCACATTGTAGTCCGCCATTTTTCTAGGCTACACTTCTGACGACCCTGTCTCACACGTCATGCATGGCCCCCTGTTCCACTGTGATGATACATGATATTCCAGCTCACATTGTCCCTGTATTTGTATTTATTGTGGATCCCCATTAGTTCCTGCCAAGGCAGCAGCTACTCTTCCTGGGGTCAAGCAAAATTAAGTCAGTTATACTATTTTAAAAACATTACAATACATTCACAACACATTAAGTGTGTGCCCTCAGGCCCCTACTGTAATCTACAACCAAAATACATGTGCACGTGTGTGTATAGTGCGTTTGTTATCGTGTGTATGCATGCATGCATGTGTCTGTGTACACCTGTGCAACCTACCTGACAGACAGAGATATGAGACGGAGACAGCTGGCACCCTGCCGTGTAGGCTGCAGGCCATACACCCATACCTCTCACTTGGGCAGAGTAGTTCAGTAAGATAGTCTATGCACTGTTATGGTCGGCAGGATAATAACATCCTATTGGCTCTGTAGGAATAGGCAATATCACCTACAGTATATGGCTCTTCAAGATAAGACATTTTTACAACTGGCTTTATAAAATACATTTGATTGATGGGTTTGATCATACATGTTTCAGACTATAGCCGAGAGCAACGTTCTAGTTCAATAACCATTATCAACCGAGGTGAGGTGAGGTGAGGTGAGGTGAAAGGAGTCTAGCTAGCTGACAGGGTTGGGGTCAATTCCATTTCAATTCCAGTCAGTTCAGAAAGTAAACCAAATTCCAATTTTTCCCCATTGAAAAGCATTTAAGAGAATTGGAATTTCAGTGTACTGTCTGAATTGAAGTGGAATTGACCCCAATATTTCAACAGAGTGGCCCATTTCCATTGGCAAGACAAACAACAGTCAACGTCAACACCATATCACAACAATTGCTAGCCTGCGGCTCACCTCCAAGTCACTTGGCTCTGTCATATCCTCACATGGCCTCTCCTATCATTGCTACGCAGACGACACACAACTAATCTTCTCCTTTCCCCCTTCTGATAACCAGGTGGCGAATCGCATCTCTGCATGTCTGGCAGACATATCAGTGTGGATGACGGATCACCACCTCAAGCTGAACCTCGGCAAGACGGAGCTGCTCTTCCTCCCGGGGAACGACTGCCCGTTCCATGATCTCGCCATCACGGTTGACAACTCCGTTGTGTCCTCCTCACAGAGTGCAAAGAGCCTTGGCGTGACCCTGGACAACACCCTGTCGTTCTCCGCTAACATCAAGGTGGTGACCCGATCCTGTAGGTTCGTGCTCTACAACATTCGGAGAGTACGACCCTGCCTTACACAGGAAGCGGCACAGGTCCTAATCCAGGCACTTGTCATCTCCCGTCTGGATTACTGCAACTCGCTGTTGGCTGGGCTCCCTGCCTGTGCCATTAAACCCCTACAACTCATCCAGAATGCCGCAGCCCGTCTGGTGTTCAACCTTCCCAAGTTCTCTCACGCCACACACACTACTGAGCCTCATTTTGACTTGTTTTAAGGACATTACATCAAAGTTGGATCAGCCTGTAGTGTGGTTTTCCACTTTAATTTTGAGGGTGACTGCAAATCCAGACCTCCATGGGTTGATAAATTTGATTTCCATTGATAATTGTTGTGTGACTTTGTTGTCAGCACATTCAACTATGTAAAGAAAAAAGTATTTAATAAGATTATTTCATTCATTCAGATCTAGGATGTGTTATTTTAGTGTTCCCTTTATTTTTTTGAGTAGTGCTGTTGTCAGTGTCTTCTGTCTGTGTTGTCCGTTTTGTCTTAATTGTTTTTTTTGTTTTTTTATCCCAGCCCCCATCCCAACAGGAGGCCTTTTACCTCTTGCCAGGCGGTCATTGTAAATCAGAATGTGTTCTTAATTGACTTGCCTGGTAAAATAAAGGTAAAATAAAGAAATACGATGGAATAACTGTAAGGGGAAAGATATATTCTGGGAGTGATCCAATTCTCCACATTCTATACAAACGGTCCTACCGAATGCATGAAGCAGTGTAGTGTTTACAGTAGGTAGGGGGGGGGGGGTGTCAGCTGCATTGAAATACAACTCCAGTATGGTCAGCTGTCTGTAGGAGGAGCACACAGCATTCAGTAAAATATAAGGAGGGGTCAAGGAGGTCAATAATATTTACACTCTTGCTAGAAGATGCCCTTCCAGGAACCAAGTTATTATACTCCTAGTCCATTCAAGGGATGCTAAAATATCTGACCCGTGCCGTGACACTGTATCAGTGGTAAGGTAACTTCTAAGCGAAATATTCCACACTCACACAAAGCTACACAGTGAAATAAAGGACTTTCTGCAGCCTGGAAGGGGATTGGACAGTGAGATATACTATGTAGCTATTCCACACTCCCACTCCTGCAGACTACATGCAGCTTGTGTAGGTGAGGTGTGCCTGTCTGCAGCCTGGAAGGGGATTAGACAAGATTCAGTAAGATGTAGGGTCAAGGTTCATAATAGGTGATGTAGCCGCTCATGGCCGCAGCAGTGGTGAGGGGGTGCACAGATTCACTGAGATATAGAGATGTATAGGCTACTACTGTATTTACCAGCTCTGTAGCAGCTGTAGTGAGGGGGTGCTGAGAAGCTTGTCAGGGAGGAAGTCGATCTCCTTCATGATGTTGGCCAGTCGGACAGGAAGCTCCTGACGCAGGAACACAAAGGACGTCTTCTCACAGGCATTGGCCGAGCCTAAAGTCACATGACACACACAGGAACACATGACACAACACATCTGGGTTGTACTCATTAGGGCACACCATAGCAAAACGTTTTGCAATGGAAAACTAAAACGTTGTTTTCTCATTGGACCAGTTCAGGTAGTCCCTCCATGTTTCAGTCCCTGGGATAAGCTACTGACTGGAAATCTCAAGACAGGACATCATACAGTACATACGCTGCTGTGTAAATGTTTAAGACTGTGAAGACATTGAACTGGTTTGTTGTGGCAGAAGGATTATGTCACGTTTTCACCTAAGAACAGGACCAAGTGCTATCTAGCAGAAAAGCATGATAGGGAGCAAGGTATTTATTTCCCCCTTTTAGTGACTTGGAAGAACCGAATCCAACTAACAGTTGCCATGAGTGTTTCAAGGGATTTGATTCAATATCACCGTGTCTAAATCTGAACACATGCATGCATTACATTTATGACGGATATCTTTGCTTGGTATCTATCTCATTATAATAAGTTGCTTAGTCCCGCAACGAGACATTGTTTACGGCTAGTCGCGGGACGAAACAATCTATTATGAGGTGGCAATACAATGGGTACCATCACCATTGTTGTGAATGCATCCATACTCACCAGTATCATCATAAAATTGAATACAATAATGTTTATCAAAGCTTCAGCAGAGAGTTCCTCTGATCAGGGAGGGCACATACTGCAGTACTCTGGGAACAGTGACAGCTGTCAGTTACTTAGTTACTTTCATAATGCAACCAGTGGCACATGTTTTGCACGTAGCTGCTATGGACTAAGGATTTACGTTAGGCAAGCTACAATGTTGCACAGTAACGTTATTGTAATGTTTAGCTCGCTAGCTACATTGTTGCACAGTATTGTAATGTTTAGTTATGTTATTATGACAGGACAGGGAAGAAAACTTACCAAAGTCTATGAATTGTTTCATTGACAGCGGCGAAGGTGAGAACTTGGAAAACCTATCCACTAGTGCTTGTTTAGGTATGGCGCTGTTCTTTAGCAAAAATTGCGTTAACTTCATAGTTGCAACAAATTCAAATTGAAGTCCCGAGGCAGTCGGATTGTTCTCAGCCAGGGTGCCCTTTCTCGTCACCTGCAGCACGCTCCAGTCTCTCAGACGTTGAAGACGCTAGCTAGCTGGCTTATGCTAGCCACCAAGGGCAATATCAATGCGTTAAATTGACATAATTCAAAACAATTGTCAATGAAACACAGTCACATTCCTGAACAGTGCCGAATGTCTTTGCATCACCAAAACTTTTAACAAGCAACAATATTCCAGAATTCACGAATGCTCTTCCCAAGACTGACCTCTGTGTTGAGTTGTTATTGATGAAGTTTGGATTTGATTGGCATTGGCTTTGACCAATGAAAGAGCACTACACTCTGGTTTTGGGGAGGTGGTTGATCTGTTTAGAAAGAAAGAAATATGTGCAAACGAAAAAATATCAAATGAAAATATTAATTATTATATTATATATAAAACAGGTTTTGTTGAGTGAAATAATACATGTAAATCTGAGAACGGCGTGTACCCCTACACTTCTCTAAATGGCCTGTAGATGGCGACATTGTAACAACTAATTCAAAGCGGCACATTGCTCTGACAGCATATGAAGTGAAAGAAGGTGGGATTTCCTCTGATATTCTGAAGGGGGGATGCTGCATCATGCACCTGTTTTATCTTTTCTTTTGGTCATCTGGCGCGAATATGTTTAATTTTAGCCATTGACAGTAATACCATCTAAACTGAAACTACCTGTTTTTACCATACATCCGAGGTTTGTTGGTCCAATATCCTTAGAGGAGGATAATAATGTGGTGATTTGCGGAGGGTGTAGCAGCCGCGTGATACAGCATCTTTGCAGGTGACACATCATCATTCTCATCCATAGCGAAAGAAAGAGCAGGTATGACACGTTTTTACGAGGCAATAGAATAACTAATTGTATACATTTGTAGCATGTGTTATTTGTGCTTGTGTAATTGCTATTATGCGTGGTGTTTCTCTGTATGGTTTTGGATCAAGGGAGGAAGAAGCGCACTGATAAATGACGTCATTGCTAATGATACCCAATTTATCCTTTAGCTTACCGCCACCTCAGTGCAGTACTGTAGGCATCATCACCATACTGTAGATCAGTGGTTCCCAACCTTTTTCGGTTACTGTACCACCAACTAACTTTCGCTCTGCCCGGAGTACCCCCAAAGGACCCCCCTCATGTGCTTTTTAAGTACCCCCTGTGGATATACCAAGTTCCCCCAGGGGTCCTAGTACCCATGGTTGGGAACCACTGCTGTAGATAATAGTGTGTTAAGGCTCCCTCCTAAGCGATAGAGTAGTAACATCTTAGGCTAGGTCTTCATGCATTGCCATTTTTTGGTTATTTGACTTTTTGTCTTCATTTAAAGTGTATTGTTTTGTGAACTATTTCAATAAAGCGTTACTTTACTTTATCCTCCACGTTTGTTCATTACATATTTTATTTGTATGTAATTCCCTCCTGTGTGCTTAGCCCAGCAGTATCTTACCATGGAGAGACATTGGCCTTCCTCAATGATGCCATCTATTTATGTCACACAAACTGGAAGTGTTTCAGACCCAAACCTGGGTGTTTTGGGACTATCAATTTGATGCAATGCAATGCTTATGTTGTCATTGTTCTTTTACTATAATTCAATATTCAGAATTGTGTATATTGTTCCCAAATTAGCCACCCTTTGCCCTTGCATTGGTGCCTTCAAGTGTAGTATGATTATTGAGTATTGACCCTACAACAATACATTGACAGGGAGATGCAGGTAGATGATGCACTTAGACGTGGATGTCGATTAAGGCAGCCCTACGCACCTCTCTGATTCAGAAGGGTTGGGTTAAATGCTGAAGACACATTTCAGTTGAATGCATTCAGTTGTACCAGTGACTAGGTATCCCCCTTTCCTTTCCTTTATACAGTTGAAGTCGGAAGTTTACATACACTTAGGTTGGAGTCAATAAAACTTGTTTTTCAACCACTCCAAAAATGTATTGTTAACAAACTATAGTTTTGGCAAGTCGGTTAGGAAATCTACTTTGTGCATGACACAAGTAATGTTTCAAAAAATTGTTTACAGACAGATTATTTCACTTATAATTCACTGTATCACAATTCCAGTGGGTCAGAAGTTTACATACACTAAGTTGATTGTGCCTTTAAACAGCTTGGAAAATTCCAGAAAATGATGTCATGGCTTTAGAAGCTTCTGATAGGCTAATTGACATAATTTAAGTAAATTGGAGGTGTACCTGTGGATGTATTTCAAGGCCTTCCTTCAAACTCAGTGTCTCTTTGCTTGACATCATGGGAAAATCAAAAGAAATCAGCCAAGACCTCAGAAAAAAATTGTAGACCTCCACAAGTCTGGTTCATCCATGGGAGCAATTTCCAAACGCCTGAAGGTACCATGTTCATCTGTACAAACAATAGTAGGCAAGTATAAACACCATGGGACCACACAGCTGTCCTACCGCTCAGGAAGAGACACGTTCTGTCTCCTAGAGATGAACGTACTTTGGTGCGAAAAGTGCAAATCAATCCCAGAACAACAGCAAAGGACCTTGTGAAGATGCTGGAGGAAACAGGTACAAAAGTATCTATATCCTCAGTAAAATGAGTCCTATGTCGACATAACCTGAAAGGCCGCTCAGCAAGGAAGAAGCAACTGCTCCAAAAAAGCCATAGAAAAGCCGGACTATGGTTTGCAACTGCACATGGGGACAAAGATTGTACTTTTTGGAGAAATGTCCTCTGGTCTGATGAAACAAAAATAGAACTGTTTGGCCATAATGACCATCGTTATGTTTGGAGGAAAAAGGGGGTAGCTTGCAAGCCGAAGAACACCATCCCAACCGTGAAGCACGGGGGTGGCAGCATCATGCTGTGGGGTGCTTTGCTGCAGGACGGACTGGTGCACTTCACAAAATAGATGGCATCATGAGGAAGGAAAATGATGTGGATATATTGAAGCAAAATCTCAAGACATCAGTCAGGAAGTTAAAGCTTGGTCGCAAATGGGTCTTCCAAATGGACAATGACCCCAAGCATCCTTCCAATGTTGTGGCAAAATGGCTTAAGGACAACAAAGTCAAGGTATTGGAGTGGCCATCACAAAGCCCTGACCTCAATCCTATAGAAAAGTTATGGGCAGAACTGAAAAAGCATGTGCGAGCAAGGAGGCCTACAAACCTGACTCAGTTACACCAGCTCTGTCAGGAGGAATGGGTCAAAATTCACCAAACTTATTGTGGGAAGCTTGTGGAAGGCTACCTGAAATATTTGACCCAAGTTAAACAATTTAAAGGCAATGCTACCAAATACTAATTGAGTGTATGTAAACTTCTGACCCACTGGGAATGTGATGAAAGACATAAAAGCTGAAATAAATCATTCTCTCTACTATTATTCTGACATTTCACATTCTTAAAATAAAGTGGTTATCCTAACTGACCTAAGACAGGGGTTTGTACTAGGATTAAATGTCAGGAATTGTGAAACTGAGTTTAAATGTAGTTGGCTAAGGTGTATGTAAACCTCCGACTTCAACTGTATATCCCCTGCAATGTTATTTATTATGGAGCATGTTACAGGCCAAACAGAAAGCAACTTAACCTAAGGCCACACCCATTAGCAGTTACAGTGTATTCGAAAAGTATTCAAACCCCTTGACTTTTTCCACATGTTGTTACGTTACAGCCTTATTCTAAAATGGATCAAATTCATTTTTTTCTCATCAATCTACACACAATACCCCATAATGACAAAGCGAAAACAGGTTTTTAGAAATTTTTGCAAATATATTACAAATAAAAAAACAGGAATACCTTATTTACATACAGTACCAGTCAGAAGTTTGGACACACCTACTCATTCAAGGGTTTTTCTTTATTTTCACTATTTTCTACATTGTAGAATAATAGTGAAGACATCAACTCTATGAAATAACACATATGGAATCATGTAGTAACCAAAAGAGTGTTAAACAAATCAAAATATATTTTATATTTGAGATTCTTCAAACAGCCACCCTTTGCCTTGATGACAGCTTTGCACACTATTGGCATTCTCTCAACCAGCTTCATAAAGTAGTCACCTGGAATGCATTTCAATTAACAGGTGTGCCTTCTTAAAAGTTAATTTGTGGAATTTCTTTCCATCTTAATGCGTTTGAGCCAATCAGTTGTGTTGTGACAAGGTAGGTGGCGTATACAGAAGATAGCCCTATTTGGTAAAAGACCAAGTCCATATTATGGCAAGAACAGCTCAAATAAGCAAACAGAAATGACAGTCCATCATTACTTTAAGACATGAAGGTCAGTCAATCCAGAGAATGTCAAGAACTTTTCAAGTTTCTTCAAATGCAGTCGCAAAAACCATAAAGCGCTATGATGAAAGTGGCTCCCATGAGGACTGCCACAAGAAAGGAAGACCCAGAGTTATCTCTGCTGCAGAGGATAAGTTCATTAGAGTTAACTGCACCTCAGATTGCAGCCCAAATAAATGCTTCACAGAGATCAAGTAACAGACATCTCAACATCAACTGTTCAGAGGAGACTGCGTGAATCAGGCCTTCATGGTCTAATTGCTGCAAAGAAACCACTACTAAAGGACACCAATAAGAAGAAGAGACTTGCTTGGGCCAAGAAACACGAGCAATGGACATTAGACCGGTGGAAATCTGTCCTTTGGTCTGATGAGTCCAAATTTGAGATTTTTGGTTCCAACCGCCATGTCTTTGTGAGACACAGAGTAGGTGAACGGATGATCTCTGTATGTGTGGTTTCCACCGTGAAGCATGGAGGAGGAGGTGTGATGGTGTAGGGGTGCTTTGCTGGTGACACTGTCAGTGATTTATTTAGAATTCAAGGCACACTTAACCAGCATGGCTACCACAGCATTCTGCAGCGATGCGTCTTCCTATCTGGTTTGCGCTTAGTGGGACTATCACTTGTTTTCAACAGGACAATGACCCAAAACACACCTA